CAAAGCAAAACTTGAAATATAGGTCATTCAATCTCCAGACAACTTGTTCTTTTGCTAAAATATCCCTGGGTGTTGAGGTTATCTGATCAAGCCTTGTTTAAAGGGTAGCAACCATCTAAAGATAGCATCATCAGTACAAAGTGAGAAGATCTTTTTAGTGGTGTCTCCCTTCTTTGTGAATGTTGCTCTTTGAGGAATACCTGCCTCTCTGTTCTTTTTAACTTTAAGAAGGTTGGTTATATGACCTCAAATGGTCTTTCGTGTAACATGTCAAGCAGGGCCGTAGCCAGAAAAAATTTCGGGGGGGGGGGGGTTGAAACTTTCAGGGGGCAAATCAAAGAGTAGTTCGATAACACAACAACATTTTTAATACAGTCCAAAGACCCTTATTGCTCTAAAAGGTATAAGATACAAGGTATGCAAGGTTAGTAAGGCCAAAAATAGCAAAAAAGGTTTTGTTTTAACCTGAAAAATTGGGGGGGGGGGGTTTGAACTCCTAACCCCCCCTCCGTGGCTACAGGCCTGATGTCAAGAGATTAGTTGTATGGCTGCTGTTTTACTGGATGCCTTTTGCTGGATGCAATTACTTCATCAGTTACTATCTTTCTGACTTTTACTGTCTGAATACGGGGTGATTAGTCTCCTCCTTTCCATTGCCTGCTACCTTTCCAGGGCCTCAAGAGAGAAAGAGTGAGTCTACTTTAGGACCTAAAAGAATCCCATACCTTGTGTGACTGTGGAGCAGAACAGACAACTCTGCATCTGTATGCTTGTCCATTGTGCCCTGCCTCATGTACAGAGGAGGAATTGTTGGAGGCTACACACAATGGTGTTGCCCGTTTTTGGTCAAAAGATATTTAGCTGCCTGCACACCTTCTATTTTTATAAGTTTTATACTAATTTATGCAATGCTTTTGATATGAAATAAATACTTTAGGGCCAGGAAACATGAGGTTCTCCAGATATCAGTCTTCATCAGAGGCGGCCCTAGGTAATTTTCAACAGTAAGCAAAGTGTATTTTGGCACCCCCCCCCCCAAACCAATCACTGATATATATTTTTTCTGTTCGTCATGGGAGTTCTGTGTGCCATATTTGGTTCAATTCCACCATTGGTGGAGTTCAGAATGCTCTTTGATTGTAGGTGAACTATACATCCAAGTAACTACAACTCGCATATGTCAAGGTCTATTTTCTCCCAAGAGCACCTCAAGAGCGCCCCTGGGCAAAATCAGCTATACTGCTAATGCTTACTTTGCGTAATGGGTTGAGCAGCCCCTGGTCTTCATCTGAATTACAGTCTGATAACATATGAAAAGTCATATAATGCCCAGCTTCTGCTCATTTACCTTGGGAGTCAATGAGCAGAAGCCAGCTCCCAACTTTGTGTCACATTTAGGTGCAACTAACACAGCGTAGCATGTAGCTGCACAGAGAAAGACAAAATCAAGATGGAGCAAACGTAACCCTTAATAATAAGACAGGAATCAGGTAGCCCTTCAATAAGACAATTTCTCAAACTGTGCTCCCTCAGATGTTTTGGACTTCAGCTCCCACAATTCCTAACAGCTGGTAAGATCACTGGGTTTTCTGGGAGCTGAAGTCCAAAACATCTGGAGGAGCACAATTTGAGAAACTCTGCCCTAATGCATACCCTCCAACTGTCCTGATTTGAAAGGGTCAGCTCTCATTAATCCTCTGTTGTCTCACTTTTTCAGTTGCTATCATTGCTGCAAACTCAGTTCAAAGTGCAAAAGGTTTATATGACTGTGGCTAGGAAATAGCCTCATACATTTTTGCAAACTTTGAAAGCCAATCATTGTTGGAGGTCAGTCGCTCATAGACTATCACTACTGGTGCCTTTAAAGCCTTACATGGTTTGGATCCAGGTTACCTACAGGATTGACTTTTCCCATACAATCCACTACAAACACTTAGGTCCTCTTGGGAGTGCTTAATGCAAACAGCCAGAACCCAACTGGCAACCATCACCCAGAGGGTGTTTTAATCTTCCACCCCAAGACTGCGCAATGACCTGGTGGTAGAGCTCCACTAGATAGATCAGTTGTCGCAATTTGAGACACAATTTGAGACACAAGACCTATCCCTTTCAGCTGGCCTACCCAGACGGCTTTAATCATGTATTCATGTATTTTAATCTCTGCCCTGAGTATTTTAATATATGTACTTTGTAAAAATACCTTTTAGTTTGTGTTTTTATATCGTAGGAGCCCTCAGTGATGCAACGGGTTAAGAGAAGCCTCACACAAGGATGGTAAAACATCAAAACATCCAGGTGTCCCCTGGGTAACATCCTTGCAGACAGTCAATTCTCTCACACCAGAAGCGACTTGCAGTTTCTCAAGTCACTCCTGACATGAAATAAATAAATAAATAAATAAATAAATAAATAAATAAATAAAGTACTTATGCATTTATAGTTATGTTGTAGCTCCCCTGGAGTCACTATAAGAGGTGGATAAGAATTATTATTATTATTATTATTATTATTATTATTATTATTATTATTTCTGGCAAAACCTAGGGACCCGCAGAAGATTATTCTGCACTGTGATTGAAAAAAATAATCATTTCAGGCCACAGTTTTTAAGCTGCATCTGTATTGTAGAATTAACACAGTTTGACTCTATTTTAACTGCCATTGCTCAGTGCTAAGGAAACCTGGGATTTGTCATTTGGTGAGGCAGCCAGCATTGGCCAATAGTATAAATATTCCAAGTGCAACCAGATTCTCATTCCTTCCTAAAGTTTCCAAAATGTATTCTAAATGATAGATTGAGTTGTCTTGTTCTCCCCTTTCTGAAGGAGTAAGTTTACACAAGAGAACAATATGGGCTGTTTTTCTCATCCAAACAAGGAAATAAATCCCCTTCTTCAAGCCTGATACTAAAAAAACCCCCTGAGAATCAGTTTCCTGCCACTATAGCATCACTGAAAGCAGAACCTGAAAAATCATTCTTTTGGAGAAGTAGCTGCCAGAATCTCTCATCAATTATGGTCAAAGGAATAATAAACCAAGAGAGTAATGCTTCCAGGTTGTGATTGGTATGAGATTTATGTTTATCGTGGATAATAGGATTGACACTGAATAAGAATAAGAATAAGAATGTGGGTGCTTGGCATCCATTGGGATTTGTTTCTAGGAGCCCCCATGTATACCAAAATATGTCGATGCTCAGGTCCTTTTATACACAGTGCTATCCTTCATATATTATGGCAAACAACTGAAATGAGTGCTGGAAAGAGCTTGAGGATCTGTGAGATGGCATGAGATATAAGGGTATGTCTGCACATTTTGCTTTTAGGATTCCATCCCTCAATATATTGGTTGGTTGAATCCATAGATGCAGCAGAACCCATGGATAAGGAAGGCCAACTGTCAATACAGGAAAAGGTGCCCATCGAAATATAGCATGGATTGTGGATCTCAGCAGGTGCCCCACCCACAGCCAAGCAAAGCTTAGGATGCGGGAGGGCATTTTGAATTACCCCATGAAGGAGGCAGACTTGGTTTGGGCCAGCTAGCTTGCTGGCCCATACATGTGAGGGGGCGGAGCAGCAAGTTGGATGAGGCTGCTCTGTTCCTCTCTTTCAGTTTCCTTTGGACGGCGTGACCCACCCTCCCTCCCTATGGACAGTGTGAGTATAGACTTGTCGCACATGGGCCGGGTAGGATTTTTTCCCCCCAAGTTTGCATTGGGGGTTTTTTCGCCTACCCCATACTGTTTCAGATGAGTGTGATAATTGGCTTTTGGGTGGTGTCATTTAAATAGGTTTCCTTGAGTATTAATAAGTTTCCATGACATGTTAAAGGTGAAATGGTTATGGTAGGCACTGTGGCACCCCCGCCTTAGGGGGTGAAAGGTGGACTCTCACAAAAGTCCCCATAAGTTTTCATAAAATGGGAGCTACCCTTGGGGCTGGATTGAGGGTTCTCACTCTTGAAAAACTCTGAGGTTTGAGAAGGAGCACCCTCATGATAGCCTTCCAACTATGATCGGCCAAGAGGTGCAGACAAAGAATTTTGCTTGGCCCTCGGGATCCTTGGTGCACGCTTGTTCTTGGAGGTGGTCAGAGGAAGTGACACCTGGCCCAGGGACTAGGCTCACTAGGTGGCCATTCAGCCATGAGTTATATTTAGCATTTTTACAGATTTTCCCTCTACAGCTTACTACAAATTCTTTCAATAAATAGGTCAGAAAATGAGAAAATGGCCCTTTAGATTCATTTTCTTGTGTCAGACTCTTTACTTCATGGTGGGAGTTCAATAAACCTTCTCTGATGTGGCAGCATAGCCTATCCCTAATGATTTTCCACATTGCGGAGTTATTTTGGGACAGGATCAACACAAATTAGTTTTCTGGGGCCCCTTCCACATTGTTGAATAATTGCCTACTTTATCTGCTTTGAACTGGAATATATGCCAGATATTGTGGGATTTTCTCTCTTAATATTCTAGGTTATATGGCTGTGTGGAAGGGCCTTTGCACATAATTATTGTGCAAGTGTCATACAAATTTTATCTTAGAACAGAAAAGAAAGACACTACATAGAATGACAGCACGTCATTGAGATAATATTTCTCAAATGGTGGAGCAATTAAACAGATTACTGATATTCCACAAATGAGTTCAATATGTATTTTTTAAAACTGCTCCCTTCATTAGCAATACACCAGATCTTTTGAGGCTATTAATAAAATTAACAGAGATTTATAACCACTATTTTTTAACATTTTTAAAAGAGGACTTTCTGAATGGGGTTGCCATAGGGAAAGAGACAGAATGTCTTGCTGGTCATCAGTGATGGCACCTGTACTAGCTCATACATGTTTACACACGGATGACTTGCAGTATCTCAGGTCAAAAGACACCTCCATGCTGGCACCCACCTGTGGGGCAGCCATTGTATTACTGCTGTTACGCATGTGGATCCAAAAGAAGCCAAGAACACTTTCACAGCAGCCCAGACGCCACGTACCTTCTCTCGTCGTGTCTGTACGATGAGGAGCTTCGGCCGCTGGTCCAAATGAACATCTTAGAGGATTGATCTCCACTGCCTCTCCTTGCCGTGGAGGTCTGGGAAGGGTGATGGTAAGGCCTAGGAAGAAAGGAATGATTGTTATCACCAGATAATGAACATTTAGCCATATTACATACATCAATACAAAGACAGATAGAGACTAATTTAATAGGTTTTCTTAGGCAGGTGGTTTGGTCAATTCCTTTTTCTGAAATATGGCCTACATCACCTGGTATTCTTTGGAAGTCACCCATCCAGGTACTAACCTGGGATGACCCTGTTTAGCTTCCAAGATTAGACAGGATCTGGTGCTTTTAAGCTTTTACATAATTCCAGGTAAGATACAAACCAATCAGTTACTTTTCTCTCCAGGAAGTTATTGACTGACATTAAATGATCCATGGTCCTTTTTCCATAGGTTCTTGTTTTCCCGTCTCCTAACTTATACTAGACTTAATAAAAACGATTTTTGCTCCCTTCTCGAGGGCATCTTTTAATTTTTTTTAAATGTGCCACTTATCAAGTCCATTCACAGTCAAATAAGCCTCCCAAACATTTAACTTCCCAAGTTGCCTTTGCAGGTCTTTTGTGTTCCCTGACGTTTCCTGCTGGGAGACTCTGTTGGACATTTGCTCTAAGCAACCATAAGATCGCTAACAATTACATTGGGTCCACGGAGTATTCCAAATGCATCCATCTGTTACCCATCCTGCTGTTATATTGAAATTGCAGTTAAAGTCTATATCTTCTGGATGGTTCCCGATTGGTGATGCTTGGCAACGTAACCATTTGATTGGTGATGTCATGACAATGTAAACAGTTGCTCCATGACAACTACTGAAGGAGGATGTTATTTGTGAGACCTGTAAACTGAATGCCAAAGCCAACTTCTCTTTATTTCTTCTCTATTGTTTCATAATGACACCTTCATATTTTCCTGCACAGATCTCAATGACGTTAAGTATATGAAGTTAAGTATACTGTGTTGTCTATGTAATGTATACCTCAACAGACTACTACTGAGGGAATGGAGCCCTGAACAACAATGACACAAAGGATACCTTACACCTGTTATTACAGTGATAACCCCAGTAAGTGTGAGACATAGATGCACTATTTGAGTCTCCTTTAAATTACAAAATGTCTTGATGGGCGGCCTTTAATTCAAGCACAGGGATAGGTGAGGCAAATCTCTCTCTCTACTGCATCCCAACTGACTGCTTTTGTTCTCAAAGCCAGGTCCATGAGCTCTTGGGAAGAAGTGCAGGTTTAACCCATGGACAGAAAATGTAGATTTTGGTTGGAAACATGACTGGAGGGAAAAGGTTTAGCAGTTCCTTTGCTATTTTTTTGTCCAAACATATACAATATTCAATTTCTATTTTATTTTAGTTTTGTCCGATTTGGGAGAAAAAGGGCTTCTCCCTAGGAGTCATGCCCTCAATTTAAACATGTGTTGCAACCTTTGTAAAACTAAAATGCATAGAACTCTGTTTTTATTTGTCTGGGTTGCTTCAGAAACCAGACAAATGACAACACCCTTAGGAGTGCTATGTGGAACACTGCATAGCATTGTTGACTGAGCTGGGACACCGCATACCTCCCTGAAGGGTTAGGAACCAAAGTCCTTTGAATACAATGTAAATCTCTTTAAAATATTTGTCAAGTATTAGTCAAATCTACTGGGGACAGTTCTGCAAATTGCCCTCATTTGTTTCCTGATTCAACACAGTCCCACTTAGGTCCTTTTGTTCTTGAATGTGTTATTGGCCATGGCTGGCTAACAGACCCCAAAATTGCTAGAAGCTTACAGCCAGCATGCTGCTTTGGGGATCCAAGGTGCTGCATGCCAGAAAGGAACTTTTCCAAGATCTGTGTCAGATACATCATACAGTGAAAGCTGTTGAATTCGAGATACGCTGTTGGCCAGCTTTGTATCATTCTGATAGGAATGGGGTAGGTATACTCTCTAACATTTCACAGATGAAAACCAAACACGCCAATAAACATTGGAGCGCAGTCAAGATGGCAACAGTGATTAATGAGAAAGAAAACACAAGCTAAGAGTGTTTGTATCCGTTTGTTTTTGCCTGAGCCTACTGGAAATAGGAAGATGTTGCCTTTCCTCTGTTCTCCCCTCTGTTACTTTCGCTGTTTGAACTCAATTTGTAGCAGTTGAAGCAACTAGGGGTGCTTCCAGACAGGAATAAAACCCTTGCTGAAGCAGGTTTAAAAAACCTGCTTCAGTGTGGGTTTTAGTCCCCACAAGCCCCCCAAAACCTGGGCTTTTCCAGGGATGGTGGTTACATACTATCCCAATAACAATCAGGATGGCATGCAGCCACCCTGCAGCCTGCCAAAATAACCCCATAAATAGAAAAGAAAACCTACCTGACTAACATTATGTTCCTCCTCACCCTCTCCTGGTGTGATGAAATGATGCACCAGCAGACCAGGGGTGGGGTGGGGGTGAGGAAAATCTCTCCTCTGCCATCCTGTCTCTGGTCATGTAATTTTCTCATGCTAGGAGGGCATGAGGAGGAATGTAATGGCGGCCATTACAACCCTTTTTATTCTAAGGGGTTATTTTGGGTTTTGGGGGAAGGGAGTGGGTGCCCTCTCAGTTTGCTTGGACCTGAGATGGCTGTGGGGATTGAGCCTGGGGATCATGTGACACTGTCCCCAGGCCCAATCCATACAGGGACCACACCTGATACGACCAATGGCTGATACCAAATGAGAGACTCCCCCTGGGTGCACAGAAAACTGGGCGACTTGGAAGGCGCTGAACAGACTGCGCTCTGGCACCATGAGATGCAGAGCCGACCTCAAGAAATGGGGCCACAAAGTGGAATCCACGACATGCGAGTGTGGAGAAGAACAAACCACAGACCACCTGCTGCAATGCAACCTGAGCCCTGCCACATGCACGATGGAGGACCTTCTTGTGGCAACACCAGAGGCACTCCAAGTGGCCAGATATTGGTCAAAGGACATTTAATCAACTACCAAACTCGCAAATTTTGTATTTTGTCTGTTTGTTTGTTTTGTTAGAAATGTAATACAATTGACTGGTTGCTCTGACATGACAAATAAATAACCTGATAAGACTCAGATCAGGTGTTTAATTACTGGAGACATCGTTTGGATGCCTCCAGTAAAACCGAGATGGGTCCCAGTTTTTGGGCCTGTCTGGATGGGCCCTAGGAAACAAGTCAGAGCTTGGAAAAGTTACTTTTTGGATCATAGTTTTTGGAATTGCTTGTGTTCAGGGATCTGTATTCCAAAGAAGTAATCTTTCTACGCTATACTTCCTTCAAAAAGGCAATGAAGAGTGATGAGTACTTTCATTACTGTCCTACACAAATAATGGTGTATGATGACTGGTAGAAAAATAGCTAGGTCTATGCAATGATAACTAGTGCTGAGGGAGAGTCCTTTATTCAAGAGAAAAGCTTCATTATGTCTCATAAGGCCAATGCCTTGGAGCTGTCCATCTGTGATATTATTAATAGCGCTTGTTTCATTATCAGGGTAAACCACAATAACCTTCACCATTTAACACACAATTACACACCCAATCTTGTGCAACATTTTTACACTAATAACACTGCGGCAGGCATGGCCAAAGTCAAATAAATGTATGCAGTTATCTCTTTAAGGTTTCTTTAAGCCTATGGGTCATGTTCTAGGGAGGAAAAAGCCTAAATTGGAAGGGTATGGTAAACTGTCTTACTACATTCACAGAGCATCCATATCTGATTGGCAGGATATGACAAACAAGAATTTCCACTTCCAAACTTGTGAGGTAAGGCAGCCTGAAAAAAGTGAATTCTGGCAGTCATGTATAATTTCTGAATCCAAGTTGATTGTTGGGAAAGGGACGACACCAGTATGGGGGAAAAATGGCCATGATACAGCTGCAGACAATGCATAAAAGGTAAAGGTTTCCCCTGACATTAAGTCTGGGCATCTCTCTGACTCTGGGGGGTGGTGCTCATCACCATTTCTAAGCCGGAGTTGTCTGTAGACATCTCCTAGGCCATGTGTGTCAGAATATGTTGAAGTATGTAATGGGTTTTAAATGTAATTTCATGTAGTTGTAATATGGATGCCACAAGATTGTATTGCTGTGATGTATGTTTATGTTTGAGGCTGTGAGATAGTAGCCCTGAGATATTCTCTGAGCTGAGTTGTGAGAGAAATTAGGGAGTATCTGATATCTGCCAAGCAGCTGCAGAATTGTTTACATTTCTACTTCCTTTGTTCTGCCTATGTTGTACTTCATGTCTTGTCGCTTACTGGAATGGATGTATTTTGAACTGCTCTAAGTAAATTGAACCTGCTTTGTATACAGAAGTCTCCAGAGTCCATGATTTCTACCAAGCCTGTGCAAAACTTCCACGCTAAACGCTAACAATGTGGTCGGCATGACTGCATGGAGTGCTGTTACCTTTCCACAGAAGCAATACCTATTGATCTACTCACATTTGCATGTTTTTGAACTGCTAGGTTGGCACAAGCTGGGTGTAACAGTAGGAGCTCACTCTGCTTCCTGGATTTGAACCACCAACTTTTCGGTCAGCAAGTTCAGCAGCTCAGCAGTTTAACCCACTGCGCCACCCATGAATACAGTTAGTTAAATCTCAGTATCTTAAAATCTTGTATATTTATCAGCATATATTAATTTTGTCTGCATATGTTACAACTGAATATGCTTCTTCAAGTCAGAACTAGTGAATCCAGAGAGGAATTTTAGACCTTTAGAGGAGGAATCCAAAATGGAAAACCTATTGGGGAAACTTTGTTTAGGTCATTGGACAGATCCTTCAAACTTTGGTCTAAAATGGCGAGTGGGTTTCACTGACATGAAAGTCACTAGCTACTGGCATACTGTGATGTGTATCTGATCTGACTGAAACCAATTGGATTTAACTAATAAAATTTAAAATCATTCTTGGAAGGCTCCAGCACAAAGTAGATAAGAAGCCAATAACATCTGAGCTTTTCCACTCAGCACTGACTTTCCTTAAATAGCTCATAGATATATATTTACGAACAACACGTGTACCAAAAAC